GAAATAAATAAGGAAAAAGGCACTACTTGGCATAAATATTCAAATGTAAGGGCCAATAGTGTAAAAATAAATAATCCATAAATAGGACCAGGAAGTTATAATGTTATAAATAAATAAATGCCTTAATATAAGAAAAAAGAAATGAATGGATTTGCCTCTAAATCTTTAAGGACTTTAGAAGTTAGAAAAGGAGCAATTTCGAATGAGTTTTATAAATAAAAATTAGTCCAAAGTTCATAAAGTTAAAGCAGATTTTCGAATAATTAAGAAACATCACTTGGGGAAGGAGATAAATAAGACGAAGAAGATTTTGATTCAGAAAATGATTTTGAATATGTCGAAGTTAATTATTATTTATATTAAAATAAATATTTTTTTTATTTTTTTATTTTTTTTTATAAATAAAAGGATAGTACACCAGGACCTGGTTATTATTATGATGATAAAAAATTATCTTCTTTTAAATTCGGAAAAAATAAAAATAAAAAATTTACAATAGGTAGAAATAGATTCATGATTAATAAAAATGACATAAATCTAATAGGACCAGGTTAATATAATCCTTAATTATCAGGACTTGTTGGATAAAATCCTCATGTATTTATATATATAATATGTATATATATTATTATCTTAAAGGCAATAAAATGCAGAAATCCTCCGTTTTTATCATCTGATACTAGATTTGAGATTAAAAAATAAGAAAATAAAATGCCTGGACCTGGTTAATATGATATAAATTAGAATGTATATTCAATAATCATTATTTTAAATTTATCTTTTTTAAAATTATTTTTTGATTTAAAAATAGTTAGAAGATAAATTAATTGATAAATTAAAAAAAGGGTATAGAGGTAGTTTTGGAACAACACAAAAAAGGTTTAAAGGCTAAAATGATATAAATGTATATATATATATATATATATATATATATATATATATATATATATATATTTATATAAATATATAAACATAATTATTTATTTATATTATTTCTTTAAAAAAGGAATTTCCAGGACCTGGTGCTTATATAGAAATTATAAAAGAAGAATCTGAATAAGATGTTAAAAGTCCTTCTGCTGTATTTTAATCTTCATTAGATAGATGTCTTTATGGTTAATAAAAAGACTAGAAACCTCCTGTAGGGACATATGAAGTTAACTTTTTTGATATCTAAAAGAAAGTTAATAGCATATAAGAAGATCCTTATATTAAAATTAAAGTGGCTAATTTAGGTTTTAATACTAGTTAGCCAAGATTTAAGGACTTAGAATTAAAACAAAGTTTTTTTAATATTATTAACTTTAATTAATTTTTATAAAAATATATAATTTATAGATAAAAAAATTAATGATGGAGAAAATGAAGATGATGATCTTTATAACGATTTTGTTGATTATGATAATATAAGAAAAAATGTATACAAATAAAATTAATAATAGAATGCTCCTTTTTTATCGAAAGTATAATATAATTAATATAAATTTTTAGTTTAAAAATCCATATAAAAAGGCAAATAGATTTAATTATAAAATTAATTAAGAATACCCTGCTCCAGGTAATTATCACGATCCATAGGCTTTAGCAAACAATTGGAATAAAAGAACATATAATATAAATTTTGCGGATTTTTGAAAAAAAAAAAAAAGATTAATTTAAAAAATAATATAAATTAATAAAAAAAAATTAATTTTTAAATTGTTTTTATAAAAAAAAAATATTTTTATATTTTTGAAATATTTTTACATTATAAATAATTCATAATTTTATGTTTAAAAATTTTTTTTATAAAAATAAATTCCCTTAATGAAGAATAAGTATGTTTTTATCTTCACAAAATTATATTTTTTAAAAGACATTATCAATATTTTATTTTTTAAGTAAATTTAAGCTAACAAAAGATTTCTTATATTCTGTATTTTCAATAATATTTTATAATAAAACAATCAAACTTTAACAATTTTAATCAGTAATAATTAATTTTAAAATATCATTTTCAATAGATTAAATTAAATCTAATAAAATAAATAAAAAAATATTTATATATATATATATATATATATATATATATATATATATATATATATATATATATAAAATAACCATCATTTAATACTTAATTATTATATAAATCATTTAAAATTTTATAATTCCATCCATATTTTGTATCAATTTTTTCTAATTATTTTTAATTTAATTATATTTTAGTATCTTTTTAATAGTTTTATAGTAAATTATAATCATTTCCTTAATAAAACTTAAATGTTATTATTTAAGATGCATTTTATACTAAAAAAATAAATATATTCATTTTAATAAAAAAAAACAAAAAATTTACTTTTCATAATTTTTTATAAAATACTATAAACATGTGTATGTAAAATAATTTAAACTTAATATTTTTGATATATCTAAATTAACTTTTTAGTTAAAAAGCTGTCATCATTTTTATTAAATGCTAAATTATAATTATTTACAATTATAATAGCTTTATTATTATTTTATTAAGCGAAATATTCTAAATTTAAATTATTAAATTCTCTATCTATATCATTTTAATTATTAATTTGATTTTAAATATTAACAAAAACTGCTTATAAATTATTCTTTATACTTTATATTGCATATTCTTTTAAAATAAATGAAAGCCCAGAATCATCTTCTGACGTTAAAAAAAGGAAAGTATTATCTTCTATATATTCTTGCTTTATTTTTTCATAATTAACTATTTTAAAGGGTAAATTGCTATATTTTAAAGGTATTTCTTATATTAAATTGCTTTGATTTTTAGAGCTTTTAAACAATCCTGTTATAAAGATTAATAATAATAATAATAATAATGAAGCAATATATTTAATTTTTTCCTTTTTTAAAATATCTGATTTAAAAATTAAAAAGGATACATAACAAACTAATAATGTTAATATTAAATTAGAAAACAGTTATAAAAATGACATTTAGAAAAAAAAAAAAAATACTTTATATTTATTTTTTTGATATATATTTTTATAAATATAATAAATATTATTTTAATATAAAATATAATACTATTATTTATTTATTAAGTTAACATTATTTTTTTTATTATAAATATTAAGATACTATTATATTTTATATTGAATGAAAAAATAGTAATATTATTTAATCTTATATTTTATTTTATTTACTTATAATTAATTTTATTTAATTCATTTAAATATTTCTTATTTATTTTTATTTAAATAAATATTTTATAAGATAGTATAATATAATAAATTTTGAATATATTATTAATTAAAATATTATAATTAATATAATAAAAAAAATATTCTAATAAATAAAAATAATATTTATTTATAAAGTTAAAATTAACTAGTATTTAATATTATTGATATTTTATTTAAAAATTAAACAAATAATGGGTTTTTTAAATACTGAAAATATTCTTAAATATATTTTTAGATTAATGCATATAGCTCCAGTTTCTGCTCTATCCGGATAAATAATATACTCATATCTTTTTAACAAATCAAACGATCTTTCAAATACATAATTTTATCAAGTATGTACTTATTTTCTTATTTTAGGAGGATTCGTAAATTAGTTTTTACTTAAAGTCAAGGATAAACTAGTATAAATTATTTAAGAAATAAAATAAAAAAAAATACATATTATATTTAAAAGGAGAAATAACAAAGAAGAGTATGGTTTTCTTTTATTCATACAAAATTATTAGTTACATGTGTATTTTTTACTCCTTTAGTTAATTATTTTATTAAAAATAAAGATACAATTTAATCAATTAAGTTTTATTCTGTACTTACGTAAATTATAGTTAGCCCATTTTTAAGGTTTTATAGAGAATATTATACTTCTTAATAATAAACTCATAAAAAATCCAAATGAAAAATAAAAAAAATATTTAGATAAGTTTATATATATATAGTTAAAAAAGACATTTAATTATTTAAAAATATAATATTAAATATTGCTTATTTTGATTGTTTTTTTTTTTAATTTTATTGTTTAACAAAAATAAAATAAAAATATGGAAAAAGTTTTTTTTATTATTTTTGGAAAATCTATTAAAAAAATAAATATATAAAAAAAAGAACATAAAAGCAAAACAATATTTAATTTAATAAAAATATATATAAAACTAATAAAAATGATAATAAAATATATATATATATATATTTATATATATTTATATATATATATATATATTTATATATATATATATATAATAATATTTTAAAAACATAAAAAAAACAATTAAATCAAATATTTAAAAAAAAAAGAAGAAAAAAAAAAATAACTTACAAATAAATTTCAAAAATGTCTTATATAGGTTTAAATACATAATGGTAATAACACCAAACATAATATGGTAAATTAAAAAAATAATCAAAAATAAATAAAAATAAAAAGGTTGTTGCCATTAAATTCCTCCAACTTTAACAGTATAAGATGCAAACTACGAAATAATAAAAGAAAGAGAAGAATTAAGAGTAAAGATCGCTTAATTAGAATAAAATCATATATAAGAGCTTGATATTCTAAAAAACAATATAATAGCCGAATGCGAATCGACAATAGAAAAAGAATTGCGTGAATAAGAACTTTCATATGAAAATAGAATAAGTTAATTAGATTGTGAAGTAAAATGCTAAATAAAAAAAAGTGAATAATTAGAAACATAACTATCCAAAACATAAAATGAGAACTCTTCATTAAGAACCGAGAATAACAAACTAAATGAAAAATTGTAAAAATAATATAGTAAAATTCAAAATTTAGAAACTGAATTAGTAAATAAAATAAATGAATTAAATCAATAATTTAAAGAAAAAATAACTAATTCTTTAAAAGAATAAGAAATAATGTTACAAAGTGTTTTTAATAAAGAAAAAAATAACCTTTTATAACAAATAGAAGAATACAAAATAAGAATTACTGAATTTCAACAAAGAATGAAACAAGTATTTTTAGATTTAGAAAAAATATAAAATGAATTAAATTCTAAAATAAATTTAGCATAAGAATATAAAATTAAATATGAAAGTCTTTAAAAAACATAAGAAATGTAGACTTTTTAATATTAAAGGTAATATATATATATATATATAATTATAAATATATAAGTATATATATATAATTTATTATTTATATTTTTATTTATTTATATAATAAATAGAGAAATCGAATAAATATAAAGTTAAATACCATCTGTTAGTTATGAATATGAAATAAAAGAATTGCGTGAAAAATTGTAGAAAAAAAAAGAAAAAATTAAATAATGTAAATAGAAAGTAATTGTAAATACAGAAACTGTAATTGTGGAAAAGCCAGTAGAAGTTGAAAGAATTGTTGAAGTAATTAAATATGTTCCTGTTGAGAAAATCGTTAAATAAATTATTCCTCCTAAATAACCTATTGTAATTTAAGAATGTGGTGTTTAAAAAGAAGTAGAAAATCATAATGAAGAAATTCTAATTGTAAAAGATTAAAAAATATAAGATCTTACTGTTTAAATAGATAGAATTACTAAACAATATAATGAATTAATCGAATCATATTCAGAATTAGAATCTGAATATAATTTTGTAATTTCAGATAGATAAAATATGTAAATAAAATAAAATATATATTTTAATTTATATAATATTAAATAATATATGTTAGACTAAATTAAATCAACAATTATAATGTATACATTAAATAGTTAGAATTATAATATTCGCATAAAAATTAAGAATTAATGGACCGTATTGCATTAATTTAAGCTTTTTTAAGTAAAAAAAAAAGCGATCCAAGTAAAATTATAATAAAGGTAGGGGAAAAAGGTGTTCCTATAGTAGAAAGGATATGATATATATATATATATATATATATATATGTATATATATATAGATAACTATATATAAATATTTATGTATTTTTATTAATAAGTTATATTATTAAAATATTATATATATATTTTCTTATTAAAATAATTTTTTTTTTAATATTTATAATAGTATATTATTTTATAATTTTTTTTATATCTTTAATATTTATAATATAAATAACATTTTTGTTTATTATATATTTTATCTATAATTTTTTTAAAATTAATATATTTAAATATTTATTCTCATTATAATTTTGTAAGATATTATATTTTAATATGATATAATATTTTTATAAATTATTATTCTTTTTAATGTTTTTTTGTAATAAAATTGTTTATTTAATTTTTTAAAAATATTAGAATTTTATTTTATACGAATAATAAATTATTTATAAAGATTTATAATATGAAATATATTTTTACTTTTTATTAATTTTTTTTATCAAATATACATTTTATAAAATATCGCTTATATCTCTATATATGTATATATTTTCAATAATTCTATCTTATCATTTTTAGTATATAAATAGTTGCCTCTTCATTCATTTTTTCATCTGGCATAAGTGTAAGTGCAAAATTAATAAGCCTTATATTGTATTAGAGATTTTTTTATAAATAAATACATGAAATAATTAAAAAAACAGTTATAATAACACCCAAAATAATCATATAATTTTATGTAAATACATAAATACTATCAATATTATCGACTAGTCCTTATTAAATAAAAAAGCTTAATTTTTTAATTGCCTCTACTGGAATATCATATGCATTTAAAAAAAATTAAATTTGTTTATCATTTTAGAAGTATTCTTATATATTTTTTACTTACTGAAAACCCTGATTTTAAGTTTAATTTTTATAGATTTAAACTAAAGAAATATAAGTTTATATAATACCAACTATTCCTTCCGAAAAGAGGTTTTTTTGAATTTCTGTGCATTGGAATAAATCATTATTTATTTCGCAAAAATTTTATTGAAAAATTTAAGAAATTTGATTTAGTGTGTTTTAGGAAAATGAAGTTTATTTTTTTATATTATATGAAAATTATATTTGAAAATATTATAAATTTTCAATTGAATTTTTTAGGTTTTTTATAAAATTCTCTCTTTAGAAATTCTTTTATTATATCATATTTTATACACTCAAAAATTGTTGAGAAAATATTAATTGGTTTAAAGAATCTTGAGTATTTATGCATTATTATTTTAGTTAAATAGAAGGTTTTAATGTTTAATTCTTTATTTATACATAAATAGTGATAGCAGTAAAAAATATGGCCGAAATTAAAGAAAGTGATAACAATATAAATATATTTAGGCAATTGTTTAACTTCTATTCGAAGATTTTAGACGACAAATTATTAGTTTTTTTTGTCATTTTGGAAGTTTGGATATCTAGTTAAAACTCAGATGTCATTACGCTACCGAAATCTATCATCTTCCATTCTTCTAGAGAACTTTGTAAAGCTTCTTCGCAAATTTGGAGCTTATTTATCTATATTAGGCATTCTGTTTCATATATTCGTGATAATAATAAAAGGGTTTTTTCATGTATTTAGTTTAAAAATATAATCTATGGAACTGCTATTATCCTTATTTAATTATTTTTTATTTAAATAAATAAAAAAAAATCACATTGTCAAAAATAAAGAAAGTGAAGACAAACAGGTAAAAACAATAAAATCTTGAAGTATTTTGTACTAAATTTCTTCTATATCTTTTTATAGAATTTTAATTATTTACATATTTAATAAAGAATTCAATTCGAAATTAGAAATTAAGAAAAAAAGTGTATTTTAAGGTTAATTAGATTATAAACTATTAATTATATTTTCCTATATTAAAATTTAAGAAATGAATATAAATTCAGGATAACTTATATTTATTTCTATTTCTTTATTAAAAGAATATATATGCACTTTATAAAGATTTGTATTCTCAATTAAGGCTTATTAAAATTACTAATTTATTAAATTTTAATCAACTTAGGAATTAATTAAGTTTTTTCTTTCTAATATAGAGTCATTTAATTATTTTTCAAATTTCGTCTATTTATATATATATAGATATATAGATATAATTATATAAAAATACTTTATATTCCTTAGATAATAAATTTTTTTCTATTAAATATAAATTTAAATAAGAATATGATGCCTTAGAGTAATTTAAATTAATATAGTCTATATTGCTACTTTTAGTAAGTTTATCTATAATAATTTAGAAATTATCAATCATTAAATAAATAAATAAAATGCATTATATAATGAATATAAGTATAAATATTTAGTAAAAAAAAATGAATTTTTAATAAGATTTAGGCATACTTTTTGTAAAAATTATATATTTTAGCATTTCATTATTTTATATTTTTATAGTATTACTGGATCCTACAGAAGATTATTTATCCACATTTTATTAATTTTTTTAGCTTTTTTACATAGATTTATATTTAGAGTAATTTTTTCGTTAAGAACTTTTATTAGTTTTATTTTATTTAGATTTTTCTACTGATACAGATATGTCATTTGAAATATTTTAAATTTCTATTTATTCTATATTTTAGACTTATATGGAATTTTTACAAACGAATATCTCTTCAAAAGAGTTTTTTTTTAAGTTATTTTCATATTAATTAAGGCTTTTTTGATATGCATTTATTTCACAAAATGATAAATCTTGTTATATATTATTATTTATTTTTTGGTCATCATTTTTTTAGAATATTAATCTACTTTCATCATTTACGTTTATTATTGAGTTTTTTTTGTTTGAGAATTTTTATAGTTCTTCTAGATATTTTAATTCTTATTAATTTAAATCTTTTAAACTTAGTTTTTAGGACTTTATATTTTAAAAAGAAGATTCATTTTAGTTAGATAAACCTGAAGGGGAAATTAAATTTTCTTAATTTAAATTTATTTATTAAGGTTAAATTAATTCTAAAATTAATCCTACATTAGAAAAATTACTCAATAATAATTATTACTATTATTATTATTAATCCTATAATTGATTATTATTGCTATTTTCTAATATATAATTATTATTATTTTATATAATATTTTTTTCTTATATATTACATTTTTAGATATCGTTATTATTTTCTTAAATAAACTTTCTTTGACTATTATCATGATATGCTATAGACACATTTAATTCAAAGCCTTTATTATCATTTTTTATTGGATTAAAGCCACTTTATTTTAATTATTATTATTCATTAATATTTGTTTATAACCAAAAAGGTGCTTTTGTTGTTTTTTCAATATATATTGTATTATCCATTGCTTATGGTTTTTGAGAATTTGCATTTATCATAGATTATTCATCTTAAATTTATGTTTATTCTATTATTTCTAGTTAGAAGTATTATATAGAGTTTTATTGGTTATTTCCGAATGTTAGATTATCAAAAAATAGATTAAATTTTATATCAAAATCATTTATACATTAAGAATATGAATATAAATTTTTATTTATTTGTAAAAATTAATTAAATTAATCTATTCCTTTATTTGTTAAGAAATCAATTTACTTTTTTTTTAAAAAAAAAATAAAATAAAATAAAATACATACTTCTATTGATTATTATTGAGTTTAATTTATAAAATGACTATTTCGAATTTACTAAAGGTAATCTTATTATGTAAATTTTTTATATTAATCGATTATTTTGTGCAAGTTTTAGGGGATTTTTAATCTTGTATGTTGATTTTTTGCTATTTATTAGTTTATTTATTTTTCTAATTACTTTTTTGTTTTGTTTTAATTAATATATAGTATATTTTTACATTTATTTCAGATTATTATAGACATTTTTAAATTATTAAATGTATTTAAGGTATTATATATGAAATATTTACTTTAGAAATAAATTTATTTAAATCATCTTCATCGAAATTCTAAGAAATATATGTTTTTTTATTATTATTGTTTAAGAAAAATTATTAATAAAGTTTCTTAGAAATACCTTATATTTATCCATATCTATCAAATAATATATAATTTAAATTCGTTTCTTCTTTTATAAGAACAGCTGTCATACAATAATCATCATAAAGACCAGTACAATTACTCAAATAGAAATTAATAGGATATATAAAGCCCTTTATTTTTAAATATTTATATATAATTTATTTTATTACAAAAAAAAATTAAAAATAAAAAACCTATTTATTTTAGAAAAATGATTTAATTTTTTTTTTAATAAAATACAATATCCTCTATGTAACATATTTTCAATTAAACTATTATGTATATTTCCAATTATTTTGGGCATTAAAGTACTAATGTTTTTCACCTACTAAAAATCTTAAAAATTATATTCAAAAAAATTCGCTAGTTTATGTGATAAAGTATTATTAATTTTTCCTATATCTTTAGATATAGAAATTTATACTAATGATACTTTTCCTTGTATTAAATTATTGTTTTGGACTATATCATTTGCTTTATTTAAATCACGTTATAGTAATTCATACATTTGATTTTCATTTTTAAAGGCTGTGCTCATATCGTTTAAAACTATTATATTGTAGATCGAAAGTAGTTTAAAATAAAGAGCATTTTCTTTTAAATTATTTTTTTTATTAATTCTATAATGAAAATAAAATATATATTAAAATTAATTTTTACTTATTAATTTTTTTTTTAATAAATTATATAAATATTTTTAAATTTTAATAAATAAAATTAAAAAATTTTATATATATAAAAATATATAATTATATATAATATAAATATATATATTTATATATATACATATATATATATATTGCTTTTATTATAAACATACTCTTTTTAAAATTTTTAGAATTCTTTTATAATTTTAAAACCTTATTTAGATATTTAAATACAATTATTTTTAAATAATTGCATATTAGCGAAACCTTATATTCTTAGTTTTTACCAAAAATTTATTTTATTTTATGTAAATTAAGCTATTTAAGGTATCATTTTTTTTAAAAG